AGGGATGGGAGTGATGGGGGGAAAGGGAGGCAGGGCAATGTAATGGGGAAAGAGAGGAAAATGCAATGAGGGGAACGCATTGGGGGGGGAGGGGAATGTAATAGCACGGCATCGGCAATGGGGTTTGGTGGATGGATGATGACGTCACAGCATTGGTGCCATGGGTATGTGGTGCCATGGGTATGTGGTGCCATGGGTATGTGGTGCCATGGGTATGACGCTTAGACTGTGGCATGTTTTTTTTTTTGTTAATCCATGAGTCTCTTGATGGTTCATGGTGGCATGGCATGGCGTGGCGTGGTGTGGCGTGGCGTGGCGTGGCATGGCGTGGCGTGGCGTGGCGTGGCGTGGCGTGGCATGGCATGGCATGGCATGGCAGGTGGAGGAGATGTTCAAGCGGGCTGTGGCAGAGGGGGTGGCTCAAGACAACGTGGTGCTTGAGGTCAACGCACTCAAGTGAGTGGTCAATGCGGGTCAATGTGAGTCGACGCGCTCAAGTAGTCAACGCGCTCAAGCAGTCAACGCGCTCAAGTAGTCAACGCGCTCAAGTAGTCAACGCGCTCAAGTAGTCAACGCGCTCAAGTAGTCAACGCGCTCAAGTAGTCAACGTGCTCAAGTAGTCAACGTGCTCAAGTGAGTCAGTCAATGAAGTCAAAGCGAGTCAGCGCCTTGTAGCACTGTACTCTTCTGGCACACACTTCGTGTGCGTCAACGCCTGATTTTGCCTCCCAAGCTCCCCCTCGTCCCTGCACTTGCTCCTTCCTCTCTCATTGTGCATTCTTCATGTCTTACCCTTCCCTCCTCTCTCCCCTCGCCCTGCCAGGCTGGCATACAACCGCTCCTTTGCAGACTGTGCGGGGGCCATGTTCCGAGGCATGCTCAACCTCGCGGCCTCCCAGGCCACCCCCGGGGTGCCCACCAGTGAGCTCACCCCTGGGTCCCCTCGCCCTCTTCTCCCGTGCTTGCATGCCCCAACGCTCCACTCTTGTGCTTCATCTGCCTCTCCGTACCGCCCTTCGCCTCCTCCCTGCTTCGCCCTCCCCCAGCCCCTGGGCGCCCATATTCCTGGGCGCCCATATCCCTGGGCGCCCACATCCCTTGGCGCCCATATACCTGGGCGCCCATATCCCTGGGCGCCCATATCCCTGGGCGCCCATATCCCTGGCCATCCATCCGCTCCCTCCTCGTCAATCCACCCCGCCCCTGCTCTCTCACCCTCACCCTGTCCCTACCCTTTCCTGCCCTCCCACCTTGCCCCTCTTCCCCCTGCCCCTGGCCGCCCTGCCCCTGGCCGCCTGCCCCCGCCCTGCCCCCGCCCTGCCCCCGCCCTGCCCCCTCGCTGCCCCCGCCCTGCCCCCTCGCTGCCCCCGCCCTGCCCCCTCCCTGCCCCCGCCCTGCCCCCGCCCTTCCCCCGCCCTGCCTGCCCCCGCCCTGCACTTGTCCGCACCGCTCAGAGGAGCTGCTGGCGTCCACGCGGGCCGTGGTGACTCGATGGACGTCGCTTCTGAGAAGGTTCCTCAAGGGCACCGATGATGAGGTGTGTGCTGTGCCGTGTGGGGAGGGGAAAGGGAAGGGGAGAGGGAGGAGGGGAGGGGGAGAGAGAGAAGGGAGGGAAGGATACGGAGAAAGGAGTGGGAGGGGAAGGGGGAGTGGGAGGGGAAGGGCGAGCGGGAGCTGGAGAGGAAGGAGGCCCTTTGTATGGGGCTGAAGAAGGGTGGGGCAGGGGTGTTGGGTGATACAGGGCTGACGTGTGAGCGGCAAGGGAAGCACTTGAAAGGGCACTTTCCTGCAATGAGGGCAGCAGGGCAAGCTGGGATGGGTGGTGTACACAAGTGGTTGGGAACGAGGGGGCCCCGGGGTGGTGGTGGCAAGAGGGGCAGGTGGGAAGGCGGGCAGGGATAGGAGGGAGAAGCACCGCCATCTTTAAAGGTTTGCACTACCTGCCATGACCCTTGCTACCACATCCTTTCTCCCTTTCCCCTCTCTTCTGTTCCACCCCCTTCCAACCTCTGCCATCCTCCCCCTCTTCCCCTTCTCCCCCCGCCCTCCCCTTCTTCTTCCCCCGTCGTTCTTCTCCACCTCTTCCATCCCCCCATTTCTTCAGCCCCCCTTCCTTCCCCCTCCTTTATTCCCCATCTCACGGCCAACCTCCTCCCTTTCATGTTCCCTGCTCTCTCTGTTCCCCCTTTGTCCATCTTCTGCCCCCACCCTTGTCCTTGGCCCTGCTCTCCCCCCCCTCCCCCCCCCTCCTCCACCAACCTCCTCTTCCCCTCCGGGCAGGTGGAGGTGCTGTTGACGTTCGAGGAGGTGTGCAACGAGGCGCGCCCCGAGTTCGCCCCCATCTTTGTCAATGTGAGTTCGCCCCCATCTTTGTCAATGTGAGTTCGCCCCCACCTTTGTCAATGTGAGTTCGCCCCCATCTTTGTCAATGTGAGTTCGCCCCCATCTTTGTCAATGTGAGTTCGCCCCCACCTTTGTCAATGTGAGTTCGCCCCCACCTTTGTCAATGTGAGTTCGCCCCCATCTTTGTCAATGTGAGTTCGCCCCCATCTTTGTCAATGTGAGTTCGCCCCCATCTTTGTCAATGTGAGTTCGCCCCCATCTTTGTCAATGTGAGTTCGCCCCCATCTTTGTCAATGTGAGTTCGCCCCCATCTTTGTCAATGTGAGTTCGCCCCCATCTTTGTCAATGTGAGTTCGCCCCCATCTTTGTCAATGTGAGTTCGGCCCCATCTTTGTCAATGTGAGTTCGCCCCCATCTTTGTCAATGTGAGTTCGCCCCCATCTTTGTCAATGTGAGTTCGCCCCCATCTTTGTCAATGTGAGTTCGCCCCCATCTTTGTCAATGTGAGTTCGCCCCCATCTTTGTCAATGTGAGTTCGCCCCCATCTTTGTCAATGTGAGTTCGCCCCCATCTTTGTCAATGTGAGTTCGCCCCCATCTTTGTCAATGTGAGTTCGCCCCCATCTTTGTCAATGTGAGTTCGCCCCCATCTTTGTCAATGTGAGTTCGCCCCCACCTTTGTCAATGTGAGTTCGCCCCCATCTTTGTCAATGTGAGTTCGCCCCCATCTTTGTCAATGTGAGTTCGCCCCCATCTTTGTCAATGTGAGTTCGCCCCCATCTTTGTCAATGTGAGTTCGCCCCCATCTTTGTCAATGTGAGTTCGCCCCTATCTTTGTCAATGTGAGTTCGCCCCCATCTTTGTCAATGTGAGTTCGCCCCCATCTTTGTCAATGTGAGTTCGCCCCCATCTTTGTCAATGTGAGTTCGCCCCCATCTTGTCAATGTGAGTTCGCCCCCATCTTTGTCAATGTGAGTTCGCCCCCATCTTTGTCAATGTGAGTTCGCCCCCATCTTTGTCAATGTGAGTTCGCCCCCATCTTTGTCAATGTGAGTTCGCCCCCATCTTTGTCAATGTGAGTTCGCCCCCATCTTTGTTAATGTGAGTTCGCCCCCATCTTTGTCAATGTGAGTTCGCCCCCATCTTTGTCAATGTGAGTTCGCCCCCATCTTTGTCAATGTGAGTGCCTCTCCACCACCAGCCAACCGTCTCATTCGCTCTCGTATGGGCCGTGCTTGTCTCTCTCCCTTCATGCCGTGCTTGTCTCTCTCCCTTCATGCCGTGCTTGTCTCTCTCCCTTCATGCCAAATATTCCCCGGAGCCCTCCCTGCTGCCCGGAGCCCTCCCTGCTGCCCAGAGCCCTCCCTGCTGCCCGGAGCCCTCCCTGCTGCCCGGAGCCCTCCCTGCTGCCCGGAGCCCTCCCTGCTGCCCGGAGCCCTCCCTGCTGCTCGGAGCCCTCCATGCATGCTGTGCCTCACAACTATCCTTGTGCGGCCGTCCTTTCTCCCATCCCCGCCGTCCATCTCTCCGTCAACTCCCTCCCTCCCTCCCATCACCAGGTGCTGGAGGCGCTGTACGACTGGGACATAGTGAGCGAGGAGGCCGTCATGGCGTGGGCCGATGAGAAGCAGTTCGCTGATGCTGCTGACAAGCTCTTCGTCGAGCGATCCGCAGCGTTCATCAAGGTGAGGTGAACGGTGCAGGTTGGACCCTCCCGCGGTTTGGTTGGGCGTAACCCTCCCCCGTATGTGGCACTCTGGCACTGGGGCGGTGTGAGTGTGTGTGGCACTGACCTGGTGTGTGTGTGTGGCTCTGACCTGGTGAGTGTGTGTGGCTCTGACCTGGTGTGAGTGTGTGTGTGTGGAGCTGCCAGCACAGGTACCATGATGCGTTGAAGGGTCCATGCCACACACAGAGGGAATTGGTTCTCGCTAATCTTGCCGGCCCTGCCCCTCCCCTGCCCCTCCCCTGCCTTTCTCCTGCCCCTCTCCTGCCCCTCCCCTGCCCCTCCCCTGCCCCTCCCCTGCCCTTCCCCTGCCCCCCCTTCTCCAGTCACAGCCATCTTCCGCTGCGCCTCTCCCTGGCCCCACGTCTCATCGCTTTTCTCACTCTTTCCGCCTTTCCTCATTCTCCCTTGCCGCTAGCCGTCCTTATGCCACCACTCCAGTTCATCTTGACCCCCACTGTGCACATTCTAACTTGCATGCTTCTCTATCTGCCCTCTGCTGCTCTTCTTCCTCCTCTGCTCTGTCTGCTCTCTGCTCTGCCCTCTAATGCTGCACTACCCCCTCTGCTGTTCTGTTCCTTCTGCTGCCTGTCTGTCCTTCACAGTGGCTCAAGGAAGCGGAGGAGGAGAGCGATGATGAGTGAATGTGGCCTTTGCGGCCTTTCCATGCTGCTTAGCCACTCAGCCATCAGAGAAGACTCAATAGAAAAACATTTCTCAGAAAGAAAATGTAGGGTAGGAAGGAATACACAAGATGCCTGCGTCAGGCTGGCACAACAGTGGAGGAAGTCAAGCGAGGCAAGGCACAGAATCCAATTATGCACAAGTAGAACGTGGAGCGATGTGTAAGGGTGACACACACGTCGTGCGATGTGATTATATTGTAAATGCAAGAGGGACTCGAAATGAAGGGTTTTAATTGTCGGAGTTCACTACGGTAGGATTTTGAACCCAGCTGTGTTTCCCCCAATCTCATCAAGACTGGTGATGACTCAGCGTGACTCCGGTCTCATTTGCCAAGTGGATTGAAGACTTTTGGTGCCTCATGCGTGGCGAAGGGCTATTGTACGGTACGTTAGGGAGTTGCGCCCTCTGCTGGACCTGGAGAGCCTGGGACTGACCCTGTTACTTCTGGTGGTGCGCTAGCCCGTCGGCACTACTCCTTTCATTTTTGCGACGCGACTAGGAAGAGCAAAACCGTGCAGAGAACGAAGGCTAGCGGGGGTGTTACATTGTAATGTGTTATATGTTGGTAGGCTGTAGTGGGGTAGCCAATATGGGGTACAACCCCAACTAGGGTTTGCTACTTGTACCCAACTGTTCCATTCAATGATGCACCATTCTTACGCTAGTTTTCTGACATGGTATTCAGAGCAGGTGGTCCCTAGGACCATCCGATCGTTTTTTTAGGGCCCACCACCGCACGCTGCGGTTACCGCGTTACCCCCGCGCCCTACCCTCGTAGCGCCCTCGTTGCGCCCTAGCGCCCTCGTAGCGCCCTTGTAGCGCCCTCGTGCGCCCTGCCGACCGGCGTCCTGCCAGCCCAGAGCCCCGCGCGCCTCCCCCTCCCCTGCTTTGCCCGTCGCGCCGCCCGCTCTGCCCCGCGCTGCCCGTCGCGCTGCCTCGCAGCCCCGCGCACCGCCCGCTGTGCCCCGAGCCGCCCGTCGATCTGCTGCGCAGCCCCGCGACCCGCCCGCCCTGCCCGTGCCCTCGCGCTCTGCAGCCCGTCGAGCTGCCCGTGCAGCCCCGCGCGCCGCCCGCTGTGCCCCGCGCCGTCCGTCGCGCTGCCCGCCCGCCCGCCGCGCTGCCCGCTTGCAGCGCCGCCTGCCTGCCGCCCTGCCCGCTCGCAGAGCCGCCCGTCCGCCGCGCTGCCCGCTTGCAGCGCCGCCTGCTGCTCCCTGCCCGTGCGCAATTGCCCACCCCTGCTGCGGCAGCTTGCGTTGCTCTGTCGTACTGTCGCTATGGCTTCCATCCGCGTGCTGTCGTTCGATGCTGAGGGCCGCCCTGTGCAGTTCACCACTTGGCTAGATGACCTGCAGCTGTTCCTCCTGAGCGATAGCAAGGAGCATGTGTCGCTCTATGATTACGCGTCTGGTGCTGCGCCTGCCCCTCCTGCCACAGCTGAGCTTAGTGTTCGTTCCCACTGGCAGACTCGTGACGCAGCTGCTCGCCTAGCCATTCGCAGTCACCTGCCAATAGCTGAGCTCGAGCATTTTGGCGACTGCAAAACCGCCATGACCCTTGCTACCACATCCTTTCTCCCTTTCCCCTCTCTTCTGTTCCACCCCCTTCCAACCTCTGCCATCCTCCCCCCTCTTCCCCTTCTCCCCCCGCCCTCCCCTTCTTCTTCCCCCGTCGTTCTTCTCCACCTCTTCCATCCCCCCATTTCTTCAGCCCCCCTTCCTTCCCCCTCCTTTATTCCCCATCTCACGGCCAACCTCCTCCCTTTCATGTTCCCTGCTCTCTCTGTTCCCCCTTTGTCCATCTTCTGCCCCCACCCTTGTCCTTGGCCCTGCTCTCCCCCCCCCCCCCCCCCCCCCCCCCCTCCACCAACCTCCTCTTCCCCTCCGGGCAGGTGGAGGTGCTGTTGACGTTCGAGGAGGTGTGCAACGAGGCGCGCCCCGAGTTCGCCCCCATCTTTGTCAATGTGAGTTCGCCCCCACCTTTGTCAATGTGAGTTCGCCCCCACCTTTGTCAATGTGAGTTCGCCCCCACCTTTGTCAATGTGAGTTCGCCCCCACCTTTGTCAATGTGAGTTCGCCCCCACCTTTGTCAATGTGAGTTCGCCCCCACCTTTGTCAATGTGAGTTCGCCCCCACCTTTGTCAATGTGAGTTCGCCCCCACCTTTGTCAATGTGAGTTCGCCCCCACCTTTGTCAATGTGAGTTCGCCCCCACCTTTGTCAATGTGAGTTCGCCCCCACCTTTGTCAATGTGAGTTCGCCCCCACCTTTGTCAATGTGAGTTCGCCCCCACCTTTGTCAATGTGAGTTCGCCCCCACCTTTGTCAATGTGAGTTCGCCCCCACCTTTGTCAATGTGAGTTCGCCCCCACCTTTGTCAATGTGAGTTCGCCCCCACCTTTGTCAATGTGAGTTCGCCCCCACCTTTGTCAATGTGAGTTCGCCCCCACCTTTGTCAATGTGAGTTCGCCCCCACCTTTGTCAATGTGAGTTCGCCCCCACCTTTGTCAATGTGAGTTCGCCCCCACCTTTGTCAATGTGAGTTCGCCCCCACCTTTGTCAATGTGAGTTCGCCCCCACCTTTGTCAATGTGAGTTCGCCCCCACCTTTGTCAATGTGAGTTCGCCCCCACCTTTGTCAATGTGAGTTCGCCCCCACCTTTGTCAATGTGAGTTCGCCCCCACCTTTGTCAATGTGAGTTCGCCCCCACCTTTGTCAATGTGAGTTCGCCCCCACCTTTGTCAATGTGAGTTCGCCCCCACCTTTGTCAATGTGAGTTCGCCCCCACCTTTGTCAATGTGAGTTCGCCCCCATCTTTGTCAATGTGAGTGCCTCTCCACCACCAGCCAACCGTCTCATTCGCTCTCGTATGGGCCGTGCTTGTCTCTCTCCCTTCATGCCGTGCTTGTCTCTCTCCCTTCATGCCGTGCTTGTCTCTCTCCCTTCATGCCAAATATTCCCCGGAGCCCTCCCTGCTGCCCGGAGCCCTCCCTGCTGCCCAGAGCCCTCCCTGCTGCCCGGAGCCCTCCCTGCTGCCCGGAGCCCTCCCTGCTGCCCGGAGCCCTCCCTGCTGCCCGGAGCCCTCCCTGCTGCTCGGAGCCCTCCATGCATGCTGTGCCTCACAACTATCCTTGTGCGGCCGTCCTTTCTCCCATCCCCGCCGTCCATCTCTCCGTCAACTCCCTCCCTCCCTCCCATCACCAGGTGCTGGAGGCGCTGTACGACCGGGACATAGTGAGCGAGGAGGCCGTCATGGCGTGGGCCGATGAGAAGCAGTTCGCTGATGCTGCTGACAAGCTCTTCGTCGAGCGATCCGCAGCGTTCATCAAGGTGAGGTGAACGGTGCAGGTTGGACCCTCCCGCGGTTTGGTTGGGCGTAACCCTCCCCCGTATGTGGCACTCTGGCACTGGGGCGGTGTGAGTGTGTGTGGCACTGACCTGGTGTGTGTGTGTGGCTCTGACCTGGTGAGTGTGTGTGGCTCTGACCTGGTGTGAGTGTGTGTGTGTGGAGCTGCCAGCACAGGTACCATGATGCGTTGAAGGGTCCATGCCACACACAGAGGGAATTGGTTCTCGCTAATCTTGCCGGCCCTGCCCCTCCCCTGCCCCTCCCCTGCCTTTCTCCTGCCCCTCTCCTGCCCCTCCCCTGCCCCTCCCCTGCCCCTCCCCTGCCCTTCCCCTGCCCCCCCTTCTCCAGTCACAGCCATCTTCCGCTGCGCCTCTCCCTGGCCCCACGTCTCATCGCTTTTCTCACTCTTTCCGCCTTTCCTCATTCTCCCTTGCCGCTAGCCGTCCTTATGCCACCACTCCAGTTCATCTTGACCCCCACTGTGCACATTCTAACTTGCATGCTTCTCTATCTGCCCTCTGCTGCTCTTCTTCCTCCTCTGCTCTGTCTGCTCTCTGCTCTGCCCTCTAATGCTGCACTACCCCCTCTGCTGTTCTGTTCCTTCTGCTACCTGTCTGTCCTTCACAGTGGCTCAAGGAAGCGGAGGAGGAGAGCGATGATGAGTGAATGTGGCCTTTGCGGCCTTTCCATGCTGCTTAGCCACTCAGCCATCAGAGAAGACTCAATAGAAAAACATTTCTCAGAAAGAAAATGTAGGGTAGGAAGGAATACACAAGATGCCTGCGTCAGGCTGGCACAACAGTGGAGGAAGTCAAGCGAGGCAAGGCACAGAATCCAATTATGCACAAGTAGAACGTGGAGCGATGTGTAAGGGTGACACACACGTCGTGCGATGTGATTATATTGTAAATGCAAGAGGGACTCGAAATGAAGGGTTTTAATTGTCGGAGTTCACTACGGTAGGATTTTGAACCCAGCTGTGTTTCCCCCAATCTCATCAAGACTGGTGATGACTCAGCGTGACTCCGGTCTCATTTGCCAAGTGGATTGAAGACTTTTGGTGCCTCATGCGTGGCGAAGGGCTATTGTACGGTACGTTAGGGAGTTGCGCCCTCTGCTGGACCTGGAGAGCCTGGGACTGACCCTGTTACTTCTGGTGGTGCGCTAGCCCGTCGGCACTACTCCTTTCATTTTTGCGACGCGACTAGGAAGAGCAAAACCGTGCAGAGAACGAAGGCTAGCGGGGGTGTTACATTGTAATGTGTTATATGTTGGTAGGCTGTAGTGGGGTAGCCAATATGGGGTACAACCCCAACTAGGGTTTGCTACTTGTACCCAACTGTTCCATTCAATGATGCACCATTCTTACGCTAGTTTTCTGACATGGTATTCAGAGCAGGTGGTCCCTAGGACCATCCGATCGTTTTTTTAGGGCCCACCACCGCACGCTGCGGTTACCGCGTTACCCCCGCGCCCTACCCTCGTAGCGCCCTCGTTGCGCCCTAGCGCCCTCGTAGCGCCCTTGTAGCGCCCTCGTGCGCCCTGCCGACCGGCGTCCTGCCAGCCCAGAGCCCCGCGCGCCTCCCCCTCCCCTGCTTTGCCCGTCGCGCCGCC